TTCCTTCCTTCCTTCCTTCTTTCTTTCTTTCTTTCTTTCTTTCTTTTTTTTTTGAGACAGGGTTTCTCTATGTAGCCTTCACAGCCCTGGAACTCACTCTGTAGACCCGGCTGGCCTCGAATTCACAGAGATCCGCCTGCCTCTGCCTCCCGAGTGCTGGGATTAAAGGCGTGCGCCGCCGCCCTAAGTACTTGGAGTTGCCCCTAGAACCTCATGCATGCTAGACAAACACTATACCACTGAGCTACACTCTCGGTCCTTTAAACAGCTGTTGTTGTATATGTGTATTTATGGTATATGGGTGTGTACACCCATGTACTTCATGTGCCTGTGCATGAGGAAGCTAGAGGAGAATCCCGGGTGTCCTGCTCTATCGCCCTTTGATTTCTCTCTCCCACCTCCCCACCCCCCTCGGGTCTTAACAGGTGAATATGAAACCGATTCAGACAGGCCAGCTGGGCAGCACCTCCAGGGCCCGCCTGGCTCTGCCCCTCAATATTGGGATTCTGGACTTTCCCAGTCATGCCTAGCTTTTATATGGGTGCTGAGGACTCAAGCTCCGACACTTATGCTTGCATATCAAGTGTTTTTTTTACCCTCTGAGCCATGCCTTCGGCTCTCAAATAGACTTACATTGTCAAAACAACTTGTGAAAATCAATATACAAACTGGGGTTGTAGCTTATGGGTAGAGCAGTTGCCTCGCATTCAAGAGGCCCTAGACCCAATTCATACTGCAAACATAACCAACTCCAATATAGCAGACACCCTAACGTAAAATGTTTTTTGCCCTTGTATGGTATTTGCACATTGCACTTGTGAGTGAGGGTACTTGTACACAGATGTGTATGGAGGCAGAGTTCGGCGTCCAGTGTTCCTCAGTAGAATTTCACCCCATCTTCTGAGACAGAGTCTCACTCTGTAGCCCTAGTTGGCCTGGAACTCAATCTGTAGACCAGGCTGGCCTCCACTTCACAAGAGATATGCCTGCCTCTGTCTCCAGAGTGCTGGAATCAAAGGTGTGCTCCTCCATGTCCGACTTTTTAGGTGGAGGCTGGGTGTCCAAAGTCAGTTCCTTGTGCTCATGTAGCATGCACCTCAGCATCTGAGCTAGTTCCTCACACACACAAAATTCTTTTTGAAGAAAAAGAATTGTCAGTCAAGTGGGGTAGAGCGTACTTTTAGTCCCAGAGCTTAGGAACAGAAGATGGTGGATCTCTGTGAGTTTGAGGCCAGCCTGTAGTAAGTTCCAAGATAGCCGGGGCTATGTAGATAGACCCTATCCCAAAAGAAAGAGGGGGAGGGGCTGAAGATGGCACAGTGCTTAAAAGCACTGAATGCTCCTCCAAAGGACCTGGGTTCGATACCCAGCACCCATCTGGCAGTTCACAACCATCTGTAACTCCAGTTTCAGGAGGTTCTGGTGCCCTCAGAGGGCACAGACATACATTCAGGGAAACATCTACTCACATAAATAAATAAATCTTTTAAAAAAAAAAGAAAGGAAGAAAGAAGGAGAAAGGAGGGGGAGGGGGAGGGAGAGAGAGAGAGAGAGAGAGAGAGAGAGAGAGAGAGAGAGAGAGAAAGAGAGAAAGGAAAGAAAGAGAAAATTGCCATGCCATAATGTGCCATTATTCTAATGCAACCAACATTTCTGTTTGTTTTTTGTTGTTGTTGTTGTTGTTTTTTCCTGGAGCTGAGGACCGAACCCAGGGCCTTGTGCTTGCTAGGCAAGCACTCTACCACTGAGCTAAATCCCCAACCCCTGTGTTTTTTTTTTTGTTTGTTTGTTTGTTTGTTTGTTTTTCTTGTTTGTTGGTTTGGTTTGGTTGTTTTTTTCAAGACAGTTTGTTTCTCTGTGTGGTTTTGGAGCCTGTCCTGGAACTCACTCTGTAGACCAGGCTGGCCTCCAGCTCATAGAGATCCGCTTGGCTCTGCCTCCCAAATGCTGGATTAAAGGTGTGTGCTACCACCGCCCGGCTGCAACCAATATTTCTGCACATTATTTATTTTAGAATTTTGAGGACAGGGCCTCATTCTGTGGTGCTGGCTGGTCTTGAACCCTATACACTCCTTCTGTCTCGGCTTCCTGAGTAGTGGGGTTCCAGGTGTGCACCCGCCACCACTCCTGGTTTATATTACATTTAAACCAGGCTCTTCAGCAAGGACTCAGGTATTCTAGGATGTTTCACAATGAAACTCTTCCTTCTTGTTGTGTGCCGATCCACCAGGGCAAGAAAGACTATATCCTCTCTTTCCTCTTCAACAAGCCAGGCTTCTTACAATGGGACCTCGGACATCCTATCTCCTCTTATGATATCCCTGGGGTTTGGGCAAACTTCATGTCCTCTGCTCCACTCCTTACGAAGCCGAGTCTTGGGGGGTGGGGTGGAGCAATTCCTGAGGGTGAAGCAATTTGGCCTCTCCATAGTCCTCTACAGATTATTTAGGATTGAGAAGAAAATCTAACTCAGATCTAACCAATTCATCAAAACAAACAGGACTGGTGATCACCTAGCATGCAGGAAGTCCTGGGGTCCATGTCTGCCACGGTAGATGGTAGCGCATGCCTGTAATCCCAGCATGGGACAGGTGGAGGAGTCAGGGGGATCAGAAGTGTGAGGTCATCCTCACATCTAGGGAGTCTAAGACCAGCCTAGGCTAGAGACCCTGTCTCACAACCAAAACACAACAACAACAAATGAAACAGAAGAAAAAAAAAATCAGACTGGCTTCAAGATCAGTGTGAAGGACATGGAGGACTTGGCACAGATTCACATCGGCTTGAAATGCGCAAGATGAACAATGAGTTTCTGAGTCTGTGTTCCTAGCCACTAGCCCTCTTACACAGGGGAGCTCTTTTCTGACTTTAACAGACTTCCCCTACCCAGGCAAAGGGCTTCCAGATAGTAATCTAGCACTTTGGAGGCAGAGGCAGGAAGTGTAAATTCCAGAGTTCCAGGCCAGTAGTAAGCACAGAATTTCTGAGTGCACTGTCTGGAGCTGTGGTCCAGAAGGCTTGGGGACAGTGACAGTGTGCCAGAAAAACCGGGAGTGGCACCATGGGTGTGGCTGTCCTATCTTCCTTCACCAGGCTTTGATGCTTCTGGCCTGTCTGGTAAACTCTGTTTTGCTGAGTCTTGATGTGTCTGTAGCTTACACAAGCGTAGGATTAAAAAGGAAATGTGAATTGGAAGAAATGACAATACTTAGAAGTTGAAAATCTACCTATGTATTCTACTTTTCCTTAAGGAAACCCATTTTGCTCCAGTGTGGAAAATTAAACAATTCTGTAAAACATCCAAAGCCCAAAGTTCAACTGCTCTGGAAATATGTGCATTTCCACCTAAGGGCACCAATGTTTAAAAGGTCAATTTCACTCTGAAAATTTGTGTTTTTTCCTCATATTGTAACATCTCTGAAAATGTTCTGTGTTTCTCACAGTTACTGATAAATTTTTTTTTTAAGTTTTTCGAGACAGGGTTTCTCTGTGCAGTTTTGGTGCCTTTCCTGGAACTCACTCTGTAGACCAGGCTGGCCCAAACTCACAAAGATCAACTTGCCTCTACCTCCCAAGTGCTGGGATTAAAGGTGTGCGCCACCACCTCCCATCAGATAATGTTTTATGGTGCTGGGGACACAACTCAAAGCCTTGAACATGCTAGGTAAATACTCTACCCCTGAGCTATACTAATCTAGCCCACTTTGTGTGTGTGTGTGTGTGTGTGTGTGTGTGTACAAATGAATGAACGACACAGGGAAGGTCTTCCTCTATCCCTACCTTCTTCCTTATTTTGTTTGCTTGTTTTGAGACAGGGTCTTATTATGTAGCCCAGGCTGTCCTGGAACTCCATATGTAGATCAGGCTGGCCTTGAACTTACAGAGTTCCACATATCTCTGCCTCCAGAGTACTGAGATTAATGGTGCGCCCTACCACACACAACTAGCCACCTTAATTTTTGAGACAGGATTTCAGTGAACTATGAGCTTGATGTTTCTAAACTAGCCAGCCAGCCAGCCAGCCAGCCAGCCAACCCCCGTGACCTGCCTCTCTGCTCCACCTCCCTGCCAAGAACTACAGAGCTACAGAGGCAAACCACTATGCTTAGCTTTTACATGGGTGCTGCAGACCTGAACTCAGGTCCTCATGATACAATACTAATGGAGACTATGATAACCAATGAATCACAGAACTGATGAAATATGGTAGACACTACTAGATTGCCTTGAGTTAGCCAATAAACAAACACCCGAGGGAACACACATGAAGATTGACTGTTAAGTCTGACCTGACTCTACAGTGGACTCATCTTCCTAATCACAGAGGTCAGATGAAGCTCTCCTGCAAATCTCACTGTGCTGAGAAACTCGAGTGGACTGGTGGCCAGTAAGCTGTGCTCACTGAGGACACGGAACCCAAAGGGCCACTTCTGGGAATGATTACCTGCTCCTTCTCTATCTTGGAATGCAGCTGGTCAGCATCTGGGGGTCCATCTGGGATGCTTTTATGGTCTGTTTCATTAGGTAGATCCCTCCTTCCAGAGGGTTCTCCAACAGAACCACCTGTCAAACCATCAAAATCTTTGCCATCAGACACACCCATGAACTCTGTGAAGGAATGGTCCTCCAATATGTTTGTAGTGTGTTCTACAGTCACCTCTCCTGGGCAGAATTCTCTGGCTAGTTGGCCATTTTTGCTGGGGCCAGCATCCAGTTCTGAACATGAAGCAGTCCTGCACGGCATTCTGGAATTTTTTACAGGGATGCTCTGGGGTGATGCATTCCCCTCGGGTAAGGCACTATTTTCCTCAGGTGGCACGGTGATTGTCTGATCCTTCCCCAAGCCTCTTTCTACTTCCGCAGGCTCTTTATTTGAAGCTGGTCTGAAGTCAGGCGCAAGTGATGGTCCAGCCTGTTCACTACACTCAGCCTCCTTTGTCGAGGTGGCTAGCTGGTCTGAGCTGTCGCTGGAAGGGACTGCCATGTCAGACAGAGTGGCATTGGAGGCACTGTGGGAGAAGTAGCCACTGGTGAGGCTGCTGGTGGTGGGGCTCCGAGACACTGCTTTCTCCGAGACACTCGAGTCTGTCAGGCCCGCTTTAGAAGACCACTCCCTGTTCTCCAAGCTGGCGTTGTAAACACTGAAGTCAGCAAACTCCACAGGCACATAAGGCTGTGAGTGCATCAGCTTCCTGTTAATAGCTTCCAGCTCATTTTCCTCCTCTTCGGAGTCCTGCAGAAAGGAAGCCAAAGCCAGTTATTAGCTCTTTATAGCAACTGTCTGATTGAGATATACTTCACACTTTGCTGGTTAAGGCATTCCCATCCCATGTTCCCCCCTCTGGTTCATCTGTTTCATGTAGTTCAGGCTAGCTTTGAATTCCTTATGTAGACTGGCCTTGAGTGCTCAATCTTCCTCCCTTACCTCCCAGAGCAGGGAACTATGGGTATCACTCACTAGACCAAGCCTCTCTTTCTTAAGGCTAGGCAAATCTTGTCATCTATGGCAGTAAAGTATCTTCTTCTCAGAGACTTGTGAATAGAAGCACATTGTTGCCTAGCAGGAATGCACTGATTTCTTCTGTGTTTACTCAATGCTCACTGGAAGGCCATCCACCTCTGGTTTAAGAAAAGGAACTGATTGAAGGACAAATGTTAGCTGTGACATTTCCCCTCTTCTCAGTCAGTGAGAAGAGGCATGGCCTGCCTGAGGCAGAGCGGTGGCCTTAGTTTGGTCTGACAATCTTCAAGCCAGGGAAGCAGAGTGTAGGAGATCCAGGCCCTCTGGCCAAGTTTCTGAACTCATTTATGAGGCCAGAGAAAAGTCCAGAACTCTGTACTCTGTATTTCACTAAATGTTGTAACACAGAAACATGCTAACAATTCATCAATGGCTGCTTTCCTGGGTCTGTGAGGAGCAGAGAGAGGTTTGGCTAGGAAACAAGGAAGGCAGAGCGTGAATAGGAAGAGAATTCTCCAGCATTAAGTTGCTTGGGAACAGGCAAAGATTGGTAAATATACAAAAGCGGGTATCAGGTCAGGCTCTGCCAAACACATGATGCATTTGTTTTGTTTTAAATTTTCTTTTTACAAGTATTTGAGATTTGTTTTTTTTATCTATTTATGTATATGAGTGTCATGTATGCTTGAGAGTGTCTGTGTACCACGTGAGTGCCTGCTGCCTGAGCAGGCCAGAAGAGGGCATTGGATCTCCTGGAACTGGAATTACAGATGGCTGTGAGCTGCCATATGGGAACTGAACTTGGGTCCTCTGAAAGAACAAGTACTCTTAACTGCTGAACCATCTCTCTAGCCCTGTATCTTATAGATACTGTTAAGGACAGTTAAAAAGCATTATTAATGTATGTATGTATTTAGAGGAAGTGTGTGTGTGTGTGTGTGTGTGTGTGTGTGTGTGTGTGTGTGTGTTTGCACTTGCACGCCACAGCCTATACATGGAGGTCAGAGGACAACTTGTGGAAGTTGGTTTTCTCTTTCTACGGCAAGTCTTAGGGATCAAACTTAGGTTGTCAGGCTTGGCAGCAAGCACCTAACCTGTTGAACTATCTGTCTTGCTAGCCTGATGTGTTTTTTATATGGAGTGGAAAAATAATTGACACCATCTAATCATTCTAAGCTAATTAGTTTTTTGAGACCAGGTCTTACTCTGTAGCCAGACTGGCCTAGAACTCACTATGTAGCTCACCCTGGCTTCAAAACCATGGCAACCCTCCTCTTGCCTTAGCCTCCTGAATGCTGAGGTTAGAGGTGTGAACCACCAGGCCCAGCAAACAATGATTTTAATATGTGACTTTCATTTAAGAACTATCTGGAAAGCTCCCCTGATGCCTTCTGTTGTCCTGAGGGCTGGGAATACCGATGCTGAGTGAGAAGGGACACGATCCCTCCTTCAGTAAGGTACACCTTTGAGTCCTTCTTCCAAGAAGAGTCCCGAGCTCTACTAACTTAGAACCTCAGAAACAGCTTTATTTCCCCCTTACTCAAAACGTCTGTACAATTTTAATAACTAGATGGCTGTAGAAACTCAGGACCTAAACATCTGCCTTCCTCACTAAAGATGCATAGGGGGTGAGTATATTATTTAGACGAGAAAAAGGAGAGGTCACCAAAATGTGACAGATGGCTATTCATAAGTAAATATCAATTTCATCTGTTGAATTTTAGAGCAATATTTTCTTTTGTATCTCATCTTATGAGATTTAAACATCCCCAAAACAGTTTAAGAGGGCTGGGGGCAGAGCTCAGTCCCTGCCTAGCTTTGCTTGATCTCCGGCACCACGTAAACCAGGTGTGGTGGCACAGACTTAGACTCGAGCACTCAGAAGTCCAGAGGTTGGAAGATCAGAAGTGAAAGATCATCTTCAGCTACATAGTTACTTTGAGACCAGCCTGGGCTACTTAAGAGACTTTGAGATCACCCTGAGCTACACAGTGACTTTGAGAACAGCCTGGGCTACATGAGACTCTGGCTTAAACAAACAAACAAAAAAAGTTAATATTCTTCATTGTCACTTCAACTTAAAAATTAATTTTCAGCCTGGTGGTGGTGGCACACTCCTTTAATCCCAGCACTCAGGAGGCAGAGCCTGGTGGATCTCTGTGAGTTCAAGGCCTGACTGGGCTACAGAGTGAGTTCCAGGAAAGGCGCAAAGCCACACAGAGAAACCCTATCTCAAAAAAACAAAAAACAAAAATTAATTTTCAAAATTTTAAAGTATTTAGCCGGGCGGTGGTGGCGCACGCCTTTAATCCCAGCACTCGGGAGGCAGAGTCAGGCAGATCTCCGTGAGTTCGAGGCCAGCCTGGTCTCCAAAGCGAGTTCCAGGAAAGGCGCAAAGCTACACAGAGAAACCCTGTCTCAAAAAAGCAAAAAAAAAATTAAATAAATAAATAAAATAAATAAATAAAAAATAAAAAAAATAAAGTATTTAACTGAGAGCTGAGGTATATTTGGCAACACATGCTTAGGGCATGCAAGGCCCTGGGTTCAATCCTTAGAACTCTTCCAAAGTGGAGAAAAGTGAGTATACATTAGTTGAAGAAATTAGCAATCTTAATTCCTTGGCTACTAAAGGGTAAGTATTAAATACCAATGATAAAGTTTTTGAAATTGCAAAACAAAATCTTTGAGGAGGAAATCCTCACCTTGCCCTTGTGTCTTTGTGTTAAGACAGGTTTCACTGTGCAGCCCTGGATGGCCTGCAAGTTGCTACACAGACCAGGCTGGTTTTGACTCACAGAGATCAGCCTGCCTCCACTTCCCCAGGGAAGAAAGTAAAGGCCATCAGGGTCAGTTAGGATATAAGGACTGTATTGGTTGCTTTTTAGATTAGTAACTTTTCTTTCTTTTTTAAGTAGGGCCAGTGAGATGGCTCAGTGGGCAAAGCTCTGAGCTCTTCCTGCCCTATGTCTTCATGTTGCCATTATGGACCCTAACTCTCTAAAACTGTAAGCCCAATTAAATGCTTTTTTTAATAAGTTGCCTTGGTCATGGCTCTTTATCACAGCAAGAGAAAAGTAACTAACACAGGCTGGGCAGAGTGTAGCTCTCTTGGTAAGGTACTCGCTAGTATATGCAAGGCACTGAGTTGGGTCACTAGCATTATACAAAGAGAAGAAAAGAACCCCGCCCCCTGGGTAGATGGGATGGGATGGGATGGGATGGGATGGGATGGGATGGGATGGGATGGGATGGGATGGGATGGGATGGGATGGGATGGGATGGGACGGGACGGGACGGGAAGTTCCTTTCCTGTGCACTGATGTTGATAAAAGAACAGAGCCTGGACAGACCGTCTCGGTCATCAGCCCTTTCCTGTAGTTTTAGATTCTGTATTCATCATATTCAGACTGAAAATTGAATTTCAAGTTTTACTATTCTTTGTTTAATTTAAGCTAGCAAAAATAATGTAATTCTCTAAGCCCAAGAGTACCCAATACAATTAGCCACTAAAAAAATGATTTGTCATGCAAGGAAAAGCAACTTTGCAGATGAGGATTAGTGGTCTGGGGACTTTCATCTTTCTAAAATACTGTTTGCTGGATGGCATTAGTTTAATGAGTAGAAATGGGTAGAAATGCAACACACTCCCTAAGATAAGAATTATTCCTAAAGGATTAGAGTAACCCCAGGAAACCTGAAGGCTCCGTGAACTGAATGGGATGAAGGTTCAACTAGGAAACAGGCTAAAGACATAAGGATGATAACTTATGCCAGAAAACAAAACCAAAAACCTCAGTAGGGATTAAGTGTTTTCTAACATCCATCCATCCATCCATCCATCCATCCATCCATCCATCCATCCATCCATCCATCCATCCATCCATCTATCTATTTTGGTTTTTTGAGACAGGGTTTCTCTGTGTAGCCCTGGCTGTCCTGGAACTCACTCTGTAGACCAGGCTGGCCTCGAACTCACAGAGATCTGCCTGGCTCTGACTCCTGAGTGCTGAGATTAAAGACATGTGCCACCACTGTGCGGTGTTTTCCAACATTTAAAAAGAGATTGAAAGTTTGCTGATGAAATGCCTTCAAGAAGGAGGGAAAAAAAAGTTTTCTGGCTTACAATGCACGGTGGGGGACTTCAGTTAGATGGAATACACCAAAGTGTCATTTACTACTGAATCTTAAGGACACCAGACTGAATACCTGCCTACAAATGACTTAAAAGCAAAAGAGGTTAGAACCCCACCTAAATGGGGAGCACGGAGTCAAAACTCTCAGGCTTCTCTGTAGCTATTGCTTTTCTGATTCGATGTTTTCCCATTTAATTCATGAAGGTGATATTTCTCTATAGACCAAACACTCTGATTTTAAAACAGGGACGAAGCCCATTACTGAAGCAGTGATTCTCGGCGGGGGGTGTCACATAGGGGCAATTTCTGCCGCCACTCCAATCAGGTTGTGGAGGTTTGCCAGAAATGGCCCGAGTTCAGGGCTGCCTGCCAGGGGCTCCCACACTTCTCTGAGGGTCTCAGGAGCTGAGAGGCTAAGCACTGAACAGCACTCAGTCACGCTAAAGGAAATGGGCATCTGTCCTCTACTCCCAGGAACTATGTGACTTGGGGTAAACTGCTCTATCATTCCAGACCTGTTTCTTCAGTGGGATGAGAAGACTGTATGTTGCCTGTGCAAGACCAGAGAGCGGTGTTGTGGATACAGGAGAAAGGGGCTGACTTTCTTACTTCTATTCTCTATGCCTCGTGACTTAAAACATAAAGACGAGCTCAAAGCTGGTCATGGTGCACACATGTTATCATAGCTACTTGGGAGGTTGAGGCAAGAGGATTGTAAGTCAGAGGCCTGCCTGGGCTACACAGAGAAACCAAAGCCAGCCTGGGAAACTTACCAAAACCTTGTTTTAAAGTCATAATAAAAGGCTGGTGTCAGGCAAGCTCTCCCTCACTAGGTCAGTCACTAGGTCAGTGAGGGAGAGCTTGCCTGACACCAGCCCTGGGTCCAATACCCTGTACCACAATAAGGGATAAAAACAAAAAGACTAAAAAACATGATATTGTTTTTTTTATCTTATTTATACAGACTGAGGAACACACCTGCATATCGTTCTAAGTAATCAGACATCCAAGCTGCAAGAGTCAGACACAGCCAGCCATGGTGGCATAAGCCTGCAATCCTATGCTCAAGAGGCCAAAGTAGGAGGGTTGTGAGTTCAAGGCCATGATGGGCTCCAGAGTGAGACCCCGTCTCAAAAAACACACAAACAACAAACAAACAACATCGGAAGGAAATAGCTTGAGTCTATTTCTAAGAGGGGAGATAAAATGAAAATGCCCCAAAGAAAATAAAAATCCCAGCTCAAGCAAGCAAGGGACATAGACTTTACCAAAACATCCCGAGAACTGCCAGACAGAACGAAGTAGTTCAACAGCCCTCCTGAGGCAGTGCATGTCAGCACTGTTTCTCTAAGGACAGCAGAGGCAGCTTTCTCAACCCTGCTCAGCATCCACACATGATGCATTTGGTCACACAGAGCCTAAGGACTGCTTGAGGTGTCTTGGGTCAAGAGAATCTGATGCTGTCCTCCACTCTGCCTGCTGGGATGGGCTTTGTTTAAAGTTCTATTTTTTTTTTTTTTTTTTTTTTTTTTTTTTTGAGACAGGGTTTCTCTGTGTAGCTTTGTGCCTTTCCTGGAACTTGCTCTGTAGACCAGGCTGGCCTCGAACTTACAGAGATCCACCTGCCTCTGCCTCCCGAGTGCTGGAATTAAAGGCGTGCGCTACCACTGCCCAGCCTGTTTAAAGCTCTTTAAAGGAAAGCCAGGAAAATAATCATGGGAAAGTTATGTCTTATTTTTTTTTTCATTTTTATTTATTTATTTTTCTATTATCAGCTTGATACAGTATAAATTCTTATCCTAATAGTGAAATTTTCATTGAGGCTTGCCCAGTGATTGAGTAAAACCAAAACTTATTATAAGCCACAGTCATCCTAGGGTCCCCCCTGCTATATAGCCTCCCTGGTTCTGTGGGTTGCAGTCTGATTGTTCTTTGCTTTATATCTAGTATCCACTTATGAATGAGTACATACCATGTTTGTCCTTCTGTGTTTGGGTTAGTGGGAAAGCTTTGTGAACTGCACATCTATGTGGACTGCACATCTGTGTGGACTGCACATCTGTGTGAGCTGCACATCTGCATGACCTGCATATCTGTGAGAACTGCACATCTGTGAGAACTGCACATCTGTGTGAGCTGCACATCTGCATGACCTGCATATCTGTGAGAACTGCACATCTGTGTGAACTGCACATCTGTGTGAACTGTACCAGAAGGAACACCTGGCAGTCTCTGGTGGTGCTGGACCAAAATAAATGGTTTTAATTTTGTCTCTACACCCCAAGGGATGAGAGTCATGTCAGCCAATAGACAACGCATGTCAGACACACAGCCAGACAATCAGAGGGTAAAGGCAAAGCCCTTTCAGTGCACCCAGCAGTTCTCAGTTAGACAGGTGACAGTGAGGTCGGGGGGTGGGGTGGCTCTTTAAGACCCATGGAGGTGAAGGAGCCAGTCTCCGGCATGTACCCTCTTTCCCATCAGTAGCTGGGACACACAAACGGAAACAGGAGTGCATAAGGAAGGGTATGCCTTTTCCTGAGTCGTCGCTTTAGGACCCAGTAAGCAGCTCAGCATGCAGATGAGTGGCCCACTGCAGAACCAGCTGAAAATGCAGTTAGTGTCCGCACAGTGTGTGGCACAGCTAATGGACCCCACACGGGTCCACCCAGGAATGGATCTGACCCTGTTTGGCCGGGAATGAGACTCCTCACACTGCTCAAAACAGCAGCTCACAGGCAGCAGACAACATCAAACAGCCACCTCTTGCCCCAGGCTGGTGTCCGTCCCCACTCCCCACCCTGCCCCCCAGGCTAGGAAGCCACAGGAGAGAAAAAGCAGAGAGAAAAAAAATCATATGATTCTTTTCAGGCTTACAAACCTATAGTTTTTGTTTAAAAAAAAAAAAAAAAAGGGCCTGGTGGTGGTGGCGCACTCGGGAGGCAGAGCCAGGCGGATCTCTGTGAGTTCGAGGCCAGCCTGGTCTACAGAGCGAGATTTGGGATAGGCACCAAAACTACACAGAGAAACCCTGTCTCAATAAACCAAAAAAAAAAAAAAAAAAAGGTTTTAAATTGAGGTATAGCTTATAATCAAAAGTACCAGGGAAAATGGTGCTTGAAAAAATGATATTTCAAATGTTTTATTTTATTCATTTACCCAGACACAGGAGCTAGCTCCACAGTCCAGGCTGCCCTTGGACTTTTTTTCCATCTCAGGTGTGAGCGGTCTCTTCCAGCACTTTGAAGGTGCAGCTTTGGAACTCTGCAGGCAGTGTTCCACCTTACTTGTGGTGAGTGTACAGACAAGCCACTCTAAAAGTCAGGCTGAGAACAACCACGTGGGACTGTATTTTGCCAGGGAGGTAACAAAAGCTACTGGCGCTAGAGGGATGGGATGGGGATGGGGGCTGATGATGATGGCTGCAGAGAGGCTATAAGCTACACGATTATCTTGGTAGCAGCAACACAAGAAAGCTTTCAAACACACCCACAGCTAAGTGCAGGATTACTTACGCCAAGTAAATGCAATTCCTCTAGGTAGATTAACTTCAGAATCTGGCAATACGCACAGACACATTGGAGAGATTTTTGGTATTAGTTAAACTGATCTTGTTATGCTTTCCTTTATAATGACCAGAGCCCTCAAAGGTGCCTTTCCCCCTTAGCTAAGGACACTTAAGCCGATGTAAAAAAATGAGTTAAATAAAATAGAAAGAGCATTTAGAAAAATCACAGGTCAAGGTTATGTTCATGCAAATCGTCATTATCAAGAGTCACATTTCCTTTGTAAAGACTCCACACGTGTCTTAATCACTTTGAAAGCATTTGGAAGGCAGATTGCAAAAGGGCTTCCAACCCACCACCAGGCAATACGACGGGAACATTCCAGAACTTACAATCTTCTCCTCGGGTTTGCTATTGTGTTCTACTGTCATGCTGCTGCCATTGCTTCCTGGGGGTACAATGCAGCCAGGGTTATGTGCCTGAGATGGAGACATGCTCTGCAAAGGTTAAGACACACAGATGCATCACACACAAGAGACATCACAGCCAAAATCTCTAAGTACGTGCATGTTAGAAATAGCAACACCACCACTTTCATTACGTGTGAGTAACAAAGCAGCCAATGTTACAGACCAGAGTTAAGCTACTGGGGAAATCTAACCGGAATGTACATATTCTGCGGCAAGACACATCGTTAGTTTTATCAACAAGTAAATACACAAAGGCTGGTCGTGTTTTCAAAATACCTCTTGGGCATCTCTTTCTCTCTTGAAAGATATAAAAGACCCCAAACACCATTGATGCAGAGAAGTAAAACCATGGCAATAATGATCAAAACCTCCTATCACACAGCCCTGCATGCTTGAGAAAAAGGCTTCTGGGAATGGACTCCACAGAGTGATGTAACTCATGCATGTTCACATGCAGCGTCCGACACGTGACTGCAAACCACTGCTCTCCGAAGACAGCACCATCCCATTCTGTTTGGCACAGTGCAGAGAAGTCAGGCATTTACCTCTTGGCTTAGGAGAGGTCTCGCTTCAAGGGCTATCCTTTTCTTATGCTCCTCTTTTACAGGCATTAGGGGTTTGAAAAACTTTGGTGGCTGAGGAGAGAATGCTTTAAAAGGGCTGACTGTTAAGGCATGAGGATTCTCGGATGGACAACCTGAGGAACACAAAAAGGACAGGAGTTTACAGATAGCAGAGCATGTTCACAGGCACACAGGAAGCCAGGCCGTAACCTAGTGTTGGTCCCCAGAGGGCGCCAACCTCATCAATGGAGACATACACTGATGAGTTCAGGACTGAATGAGCTAAGCTGGAGGAAGTGGGGTCACTCGGGGTATGCCTCCGAAGGGTATAGTTTCTGGTTCCTGGTTTCTCTTCTCTCCCTTGTTTCTTGAGGTGAGAAGCGGCCACCATTGCAGCCCCTTCCCTCTCTGATGTCTGCTCTTCCCTTGCTTTAAAGCGTGACGCAAGCTGATCCTGGAGCAAAACCTTTGAAATTGGGAGCCCAAATACATCTTCCTTCCTTAAGTTAACTGTTCTCAGGTAGCTTGTCACAGTGATGGAAAGTTAATACCCCCATCCATGGTAATATCTGATATAACAGCGAAAATAATACGCCAACGCTTCGTTCAGCATTCCAATGGGTGGGGGCAAGAACAGGGCTACATTAGGCTGCGGAGACAGCTCAGGAGGCAAAGCGCTTGCCAAGCTGCCTGCCCAAGTTCGATCCCTGGGCCCCATGTGGTGGGAAGAGAAAACTGACTCCCCGAGTCGTCCTGTGGCGTTGTGTGCTGTGTCACACTCACACTCCCGACTCGTGAATATAAGGAAAATAAAGGAAATAATAATAAAATAAGATAAAGGTAAGTCTATAAAGTTACAAAGAATTAATAAAGGGCTGGTCAGTGAGATAAAATCTATTATTAATTAATTAATTATTTTATTATTATGGGTGTTTTGTCTGCATGTATGTTTGTGTACCGCATGCATGCCTGGTGCCCAGGGAGGCCAGAAAAGGGTTTCAGATCCCCTGGGATTGGAGTTTCAAATGGTTTTAAGCAGCCACGTAGGTGCTGGGAATGAAACCTGGGTCTTCTGCAATAGAAGCCATGCTCTTAACCATCAAGCCATCTCTCCAGCCCCTAACTCTTTTCAAGATCCAGCTGAAGCTCCACTTACTAGGCCAAGTCTCCACCTCTGAATTCCCAAGGTCTTTACACTCTGCATGTGTATTCTGACATTCATAACTCAATGTTGTATTTGCTATATATTATTTCCATGGTTTTATATATATGTAAATATACATATATGTACATATACATACATATATATACACATATATATATACATACATACACATATATATACATATATATATATGCATATACATCGTTTTTCCTTCAAGACAGGGTTTTCTCTGTGTAGTCCTGTAGACCAGGCTGGCCTTGAACTCAGAGAGCTACCTGCCTCTGCCTCCTGGGTGCTGGGATTAAAGATGTGGGCCACCACTCTTTTTCCTCGGGCTACCTGGCACTGTGGGACTATATTGTTTTCTTACCTTGTGTGGCCTCTGTCTCCTTCCCTTCTCTTTCTAATTCCTGCTGCACTGATCGTTGACTTTTGGTTGGTAAAGTATAAGATAGAAACTAGTAATTGATTTACATTTTTATAGACTGCTGGTCTCCTCAAGGCACTAGGAGACTGTGTCTTTACATAATAATGTTGCCACTGACCAAATTCATTTCTGCTATCATTTATGAACCTGTGTTAGGTATCTGAACCAGGTTTCCTTAAACATTCGGATATAAAAAGATGAGAGAGAAATACTCTTTTGGTTAAGAAAACTGAATGAGAATTTTGTGTGTCTCAAAACAAGGCCAGAACATGATGAACTGAAAAATGATTTGGGGGCTGGAGAGATGGCTCATCGGTTAAGATCACTGGTTGTTCTTCCAGAGGTCCGGAGTTGAATTCCCAGCAACCACATGGTGGCTCACAACTATCTGTAATGAGATCTGGCACCCTCTTCTGGCCTGCAAGCATGCATGTAGGCAGAACACTATACATAATAAATAAATAAATAAATCTTTAAAAAAGAAAAAGAAAAATGATTTGGAGAATTTTAAATAACAAGAGTATTCTTTTAGGCTAGAGAGTGCCTGCTGAGCATGCACGGACTTCTCGGTTTGCTCCCCAGCACTACACACACGCATGCACAACTGTTATTTTGCTATGTATAACACAAAGCAAAGAGAAATCCAGTACGTGGCTGTGGGGGTATTCTGGTTAAAGATATCTGCTTGAGTGGAATTTCACCAGAAGCTGGCCCACCACACCTTCTTTGCTCCTGCGAGGCGAGTCCCTGGGTAAAGTCCCATAGCAAGCGACATCTTGGAAACTGGAGCTGTAGTCAGACACGTCTAACTGGTTCTCGGGCCAGCCCTGCAAAGTAAAAATATAGGTCAACTGTGATGAAGTCACTTGAAAAAGAATGGGAAAAAAGCAGCCAGTATTTCAGTTTCTGTTTCTTTTCCCTCCCCTCCCCCTCTCTTATCCTCCTCATTTTTTTTTTCCCCCTTTGAGACAGGGTCTGGCTATGTAGCCCTTGTTGGCCTCAAACTCACAGAGATGCATTTGCCTCTGCCTCCCAAGTGCTGGGATGAAAGGCATGTACCACTATACCTAACTCTTGCCATTTTTTGTTTGTTTGCTTGTTTGGTTTTTTGAGACTGCATTTCTCTGTGTAACAGCCCTGGCTGTCCTGGAACTTGCTTTGCAGACCAGGCTGGCCTCAGACTCACAGAGATCCACTTGCCTCTGCCTCCCAAGTACTGGGACTAAAGGCCTGCGTCACAATAGCCTGGCCTGTAATTTTTTTAAATTAATTTTTAATTTCAGTATGTGCCTTTTTAAAAAAACTTTTATTGCAAAACATTTAAAACATATGTGATAATGATGATTATAACATAATTAAAACAAAAACCATCGAGTAAGCAAATGTTAGCATTTTCTTCTTTTTTAAGATTTAATAAAATCATTACAAATATAATGAAAAAAATTTATTTAGGAGATAGGCTTTCACTGTGTAGCCCTGGCTGACCTCAAACTCACAGAGATCTGACTGCATCTGCCTCCACCCAAGTGCTGGGATTAAAGGGGTGACCACCATGCCCTCTGTGAAACCACCTTTGAAATCCTATGTAGCTCATTCACCTTCCTCCCTCCATCAAGGCAATCACGTGTATTTATCTGATACATGTCTGTGGTGACTAGATAATTTAAGAGCCAGACAAAAACCTGTAGTGGTATTTGCTCTGCCCATGACATTGGACTACACGGCCCAAAGGAGGCGGTGCTTCCTACCCTTGTACGTGGCCCTTTTCCCTGCTCCTGCCTGGAGGTGGATTCGCCCCAGTCAGATCAGAGGACAACTTCAGCTGTCTACTCCATTCTGTATTCCTCAATTTATATCTTAATAAATTCTATTACCCATTTAATAGACTCACGTGGATTGATCGTAATAACCCTTTTTAAAAAGACAGCCCTTCTTTCCATAATTCTTCCTGGAGAGGCACCCAAGGCAAGTAGATGGCATGGTTATCTGACCTAAGCCTGAGATGATAAACCACAAATAGCCACAGCACTAGCGGGCTAAAGGGAAACTCTCACATATCATAGGTGCTCATTTCACGTTAGGAGTTGCTGCCTTTAAGGACTAAAGTTTACATTTCTCAAATGTGTAAACTTTTGAGCACAAAGTTTTGGAGAGATAGCTCAGTGGTTAAAAGCACTTCTTACTGACCATCAGAGGACCTGGGTTCTGCTCTCTGTACCCACAAGTAGACTCAAAATCATTTGTCACCCCAATTCTAGGGGGCTCCAGTGCCCTCTTCTGGCTTCTGGGGGCACTGCATGAAAATAGTGCACAGACATACACATAGATAAATCTTTAACACACTAACACACATACACACACCTGTGCACACACAGTACGTTCTTTTTTTTTTTTTTTTTTTTTTTTTTTTTTCCCTTTGGAGAAAGGGTTTCTCTGTGTAGTTTTAGTGCCTGTCCTGGAACTCACTCTATAGACCAGGCTGGTCTTGAACTCACAGAGATCTGCCTGGTTCTGCCTCCCGAGTGCTAGAACTAAAGGTGTGCACCACCACTGCCTGGCTTCACACAGTATGTTCTAAAGAACTTAGGAAGTGTTGATATGCTAACTCACCCTAACATACATACCTTATCATCTTCATCAAAGCCAGAGAGATCTGGCCGGCTAGAGGAGACCTGTAAGAGACAAGCATTTTTACCAATACGATTCACATATTTAATAGCCATCTTTTTTTGAGACACAGTTTCATTATGGCCCTTGCCAGTCTGTACTAGCAGCAGCTTCCTGCCTCTGCCTCCTGAGTGCTGGGATGACAGGCATGTACAACGTACACCTATTAATTTTCTTGTTATTCTATAACTGTATCAGCACAGATATGGCTGAAGTCTTGTGACCATCTTCCCTTGTTCCTGTTTTCTCCCACCAGGCATCATGACTATTCTCGAATCAGGGTTTATTACTTTCACACATATTTCTATAATTACACGTGGGCATATGCTCATAAATAATAAATAGTATTACTGTGCATATTTTATACTTTGTTAAGTGCTATATTACTATGCATGGTGTTTTATAGTGTAATGATTTTGGGTTCCATTCTTCTACAGATGGCTATTTAGGCTGCTTCTACTATTTAAACCTAATTTAACATTTGTATTTGTGTGTGTGTGTGTGTGTGTGTGTGTGTGTGTGTGTGTGTGTGTGTGTGTGTGTATGTGACTGATTAGAACCTTGGCAAATAAAACATGCCAGAACAGATCTCCTGCCATCTCTGGCCACTGCAGCTGTATCCTTATGGCCTGGCCTCAGCACCCCTCACTTTCTCTTTGCTGTCTGTTTTTGTTTTAGGCGACAGCATCTCACTAAGGTAGTCCAGGCTGGCCTCAACACGCCAGTCTCCTGCCTTAACAACCATGTACCACCACCATGGCTGGCTCAGTATCAAGATAGTTCTGCATACAGTCCATGTATCTTTGAGCATCTCCCCAACATACTTCTAGAGCACAGATTCTGAGCTGCATCAGGAGGCACTCAAGCTGCCAACTCCACTTTTCCAAAGGACAATCTTATAAAATGGCTTGGTTGGTTTGTTTTTTGAAGTTATTCGCTAGACTCTGTTAGTTGCTTCTTTCTGGTGACATTTTTTCCTGTAAAGTTTTCCTCATTTGGGACTTTGCTACCTGAATCTCTACATTCTCATTTATTATTATTATTATTATTATTATTATTATTATTATTAGTATTAGTATTAGTATTAGTATTCTCTTTAAGTATTATTATCCAAAGCTAGAGCCTGGATCAGATACTGAATCAACACTTAACAAAATTGCTTTACAAGTATTTTTTCTTTACTTTATGCTTTGGTTCAGGGACACATGTATATTAAAAAGATGTCATACCATTGATTAGGATGCCCCCCTCCTTTTTTTTTTAACATTTCTACGCAGCCCTGGCTGGCCTCGAACTCATAATCCTCCTGACTTAGCCCACTGAATGCTGTGATTACAGGTGTGTACCACTATAGTCAGCTCTATTTTTAAACTCTTCTTAATATAAATTTTTTTCTTCCCTTTCTTTCTTAATGATTTACTTTTATTTTATTTATTTTTTTTATTTATTTATTTATTTATTTTTTTTGGTTTTTTCGAGACAGGGTTTCTCTGTGTAGCTTTGCGCCTTTCCTGGAACTCACTTGGTAGACCAGGCTGGCCTCGAACTCACAGAGATCCACCTGCCTCTGCCTCCCGAGTGCTGGGATTAAAGGCGTGCGCCACCACCGCTCGGCGATTTACTTTTATTTTATATGCACTGGTGCATGTACGTCTGTGTGAGGATCCCAGATTCCCTGGAACTGGAGTTACAGACAGTTGTGAGCTGCCATATGGGTGCTTGGAATTGAACTTAGGTCCTCTGGAAGAACAGCCAGTGCTCCCTCTCTTTCTCTCTTTTTTTCCCCCCGTTTTTCAAGACAGGATTTCTCTGTGTAGTTTTGGTGCCTGTCCTGGATCTCGCTCTGTAGACCAGGTTGGCCTCAAACGATCCTCCTGGCTCTGCCTCCCAAGTGCTGGGATTAAAGGCGTGCGCCACCACTGCCCAGCTCAGGTGTTGCCCCCCGCCCCCCCCCAAGCTAAGGACTGAACCCAGGGCCTTGCACTTGCTAGGTAAGCGCTCTACCACAGAGCTAAATCCCCAATCCCAGGTGTCTTTTTCTATTGCTTTCCACCTTGCATTTTTGAGACAGGGTCTTTAATTAAACTTACAACTTGCCATTTTTGGCTAGTCTGGCTGGCCTGCACACTCCAGGGATCCACCTGTCTTTGCACCCCTGTTACAGGAGTTACAAGAGCACACGCCCATGCCTGGCTTTTATATGGATGCTAGAGATCCAGACTCAGGTCCCTGTGTTTGTGTGACAAGCACTTTTCATACTGAGGTGTCTCCCAGACCCTTATTACCTATTTCTTTTTTTTTCTTTTTTTCTTTTTTTCTTTTTGGTTTTTCCAGACAGGGTTTCTCTGTGTAGCTTTGTGCCTTTCCTGGAACTTGCTTTGGAGACCAGGCTGGCCTCGAACTCACAGAGATCCGCCTGCCTCTGCCTCCCGAGTGCTGGGATTAAAGGTGTGTGCCACCACCGCCTGGCTTATTACCTATTTCTAACATTGCATTGTGTTCAGAAGTAACCGATACAGTGATGAGTGTGGCTATTTGCTATATGGCCTGTTCTAAGACAGTTGTTGAGTTTTAAGTCACTTTTGGCAATTCTTGAGATCAGGAAGGAGGAATCCCAGGTTCTCCTTGGAAACACGGCAGCGCCTTCATCTGCTGATCCTGGGAAGGGACACTTTGAAGTGGTCCTTACACTCATCTGCCCTTGCTTCCCTGCTGCTAGAAGCCCTTTGTCAAGGGAACTTTCCACATGAACTGACTGAGAAAGATGATCAGTACAGGCAAATCTCTAGGGGATCCTGGCTGTCTGGTGTGCACCCTGTACAGAAAGTCAGGTCAGCACTTTGGGGTGCCTACCCTGGGACTGTGTGCCCTGTTCCCACCATTTTAGCTCCAACCTCATGTTGCCCCAGACCCTCCATCCCTAAACCTTGGAGCAAGTCCCGTGAGCAGCAGGCCGCTGCCAGCGTGTACTCACATTGTGAACATTCGGCGTACTGAGGCTTCTCCGGATGTGCCGGGCTTTGGTGGAGAGCGCCTCCTTGACCGTGACAGCCTGCAAACACACAGCACCGCAAAGACAACAGCTAGGGTTGTCTCATCAGATTAGAAATGGAACAATGCGCCGTGCGCTTATTGTAGAAGATTCGGAACAAATGTAAAAACCACTTCATTATACACAACCACTATCAATATTTACCCCGACTGGTACCCCAACTACATGTGTTTAAAACAACAACAACAACAACAAAACCCCAAACCTATCGACAACATTAAAATTTCAAACCACAAACCAGGAAAGCTGCTGAGCAGCAGACATGCTATGAATTGATGCAAGTGTGCAGAAAAACAAAACAAAGACATCCATAAGGGGTGATGCTGTTGCGTTTTACTTGTGCGGCAATTTCAGTGTGCTTTACAGAAAAAGGAGATTGTTTTGAAAAATACCAATTCCATCTCTCTAGTCACCCAACATCCTGTCTGTAAGGTCAACTTCTGCTCCGAAGAAATGTGCACACATATACATCTGTTCATTGCACCACTGTTGAGTGTAGTATATTCTGTGCACACATTACATATCTGTTCATTGCACTACTGCTGAGTATACTATGTTCTTCTTTTTATTTATTGTGTTTTTTCATATGGAGGCTCTCGTGTAGCGTAGGATGGTCTTGAGCTCACTATGTAGCCAAAGATAACTGAACTTCTGAGCCTCCTGCCTCCCTCTGGCAATGCTGAGATTACAAGTGGACACACCACTACCATGCCCAGTTTATGAGTACTAGAGTCCAAACCAAGGTCTTCAAGCATTCGAAGTAAGCACTTGGCCAACTCTGAGTTCATTATTTTAAATCAAATGTCTCACTGGCAACTCAGAAGCCTGAATACTGGGAATAAAAGGACAAAATGACCAATAAGGACTTTGAGTCAATCTACTGAGGCTCTACATGGCTTTGTACCACTGCCGTGCTGGGCAGCTTCTCCTGGCCTCCATTTTCTCTTTGGAAAAATGAATTACACCAGTACTTTCATCCAAGGGTTATCCTGACAATTAAGCCGCATAACATACCTACATCATTTGAACACAGGGCTTGGGGGCTGAGTGTGGTAGCACACATCTGTAATCCCAGCACTTGAAAGGCTGAGGCAGGAGGACAGCCACAAGGTGGAGACCAGGTTAGTGTTGCATAGTATTTGTTTATACTGTGTGAAGATGTGTCACTGTGATTGGTTTAAAAAAGAGCTGAATGGCCAATAGCTAGGCAGGAGAAAATAAGCGGGACTTCCGGGGATGGGGGGGGGGGGGAAGGACGCTTGGAATGAATGTAGGCGTGGGATATACCAGAGAGAGACCTAAGAAGTCGGGCAAACAGTACAGAGGAGAGGTAGCCAAGCCACGTGGCAGACTGTATTTAAGTTTTAAGAGCTAGTTGAAAGGCCAAGCTTTCATAGTTAATAATATGTCCCTGTGTCGTTATTTGTGAGCCGGGGGCCCAAAGGATCGTCCAACTACAGGTGAGTGTACATATTGAGTTCTAAGCCAGGCAGGCTTCCAGGGCAAGATTCTATATCAAAACGAACAAGTGTATATTTATACATACACAGACACCCCTACACATGCACCTCACACACACATGCATACCACATACATCACCCACACTCACACATTACACACAAACATGCATATACATCACATACCACACATACACATGACACAAGTACACACCACAAATATCACATACCACACATATTACACACATACACACACCATACACACACGCAAACACACACCACACACATATGTACAAACACACCACACATGCAATACACACACAGCACCACACACACACACACACACACACACACACACACACACACACACACCACTCACACACATGCACACACCATACATACAACACACACACATACACACGAACTCTTGTCAGAGTCCTTCCACTAGGGAAATGGCTACTCAAGCATTCCTCCCACGACGATAATGACTGCATCCTCAGGACTAGATAGTCAGCGCCTCACCTGCCGGAGCCGCTCCAGACTCAGAATATTCTCCACTTGCAGCACGCCACGCGTGTACTTCTCGATATACGTCTCCCCATCCAGAGTGCCCTCGTTCTCACTCCGGGCTGCCAGGAGAGCCAGTGTTTCCCGGTCCTCAATCTCCTCAGTTGCCTAACGGCACAGAAAGGAGGCGACTGTTTTTCTATGAGTGACGTTTTCCTAAGTGTTGTGACGTGCTTTCAAAGCACACTGAACCAGCTCTCCCCTTACACTCTGACACACTGACATCTGAAGAAGCAGTGAGCCTTACCTTTGGTATATTGGAGACTATCTCATAGGTCACTCCACAAGAGTAAAATATATTTATCAGTGATATTCTTCTCTTCAGGCTCTGGGTGAAACTCTGGGAGGAAAGGAAAGGAAAGCCGGATTAAACTGTGTCAAATCTAAGACAAATCTACTTCATATTCTGCAAATTGGAAAGGTATTATGATGATAATGATTCAAGTAGTATAGATACATTCAACAAAACAGAAAGAAAGAAAACAAAAACCCCTGAACTTAAAAGAGGTGGGCATGGTATCTCACGTCTAAAATCCTCATACTTGGGAGGCTGAGGCAGGAGGATTCCTTATCAGTTTCATAGCTAGCCTGGGTAATACAGTGAATATAATGGGTTTGAGGCCAGTTGGGGCTACTGAATGAGACCTTGTCTCAAATAACTAACTAAAATAAATGAATAAAATAAGAAAAGGGCAGAAAACAATATAACCAAACAAGATACTAAACCTAAAAGTCTTGTCTGTGGTTGACAAGATGGCTCTGTGAGTGAAGACATTTGTCCCCATGCCTGATGCCCCGGGTTTGTGGAAGAAGTGTATTGATTCCTGCAAGCTGTCCTAACCTCTGCACATGCTTTGTTTTTTTTTGCACACGCACACACACACACAGTAAATATACAAATGTAATAAAGCTCTCTAAAACTTCCTGTCTCAGGCTGGTGTGGTGATGCACATCTTCAACCCCAGCGCTTAGGAGGCAGAGACATCCCAGGGCATCTCTGTGAGCTCTTCATCTCTGTGAGCCTGGTCTACGTAGGGAGTTCCAACCAAAGCTACACGGTGAGACCATGAAGAGCAGAAGTGCCATTGTGATTTAAGGGTCAGATTGGCAGAGGGGTGGCATCCCTGGGGTTCTGTGATTGTGTCTGCTTTCCTTGTGCTAACTGCCCTTCATCTCTCTGGGGTTTAGCCAGCTTCCTAGAACATTCTGAAGAGCCTAGGGGCTGAGTTTTGTTGACAGTACCTCTGTCACATCATGCGTCACAAGAGCTAGCTAGCAAGAAGCCTGACCTATAGACCATACAGTTTGTAAGTAATATAAACCTCTGTGTGTTTACTTGGGACCGCAGCTGCGAGACCGGGCAGTACACAAGGAAACTTCCCCTCCAGAAGTGCTCCTAACTGCTGAGCCATGTCTCCAGCCCCAAAGATTGTGGATATCCTAGCCAGTGAACATGGTAAAGTTAATGAGTCTGGCTGGGGCTGACATTTCCTTCTGTGGTCTTCACCTGGACACTATGGTTACAGGTTCCATCAAGCCTGTATACCGGTGTTTACAAAGCATGATGTGACACAAAGGAAAATAATTTTTCCCTTGCACACATGATGGCAAGTCAGCCCTGTTCACTACCTGTTTGTTATAAATATTGGCCGCGATCCGCTTCCGTAACACTAACTCCATTGCTGCCGGGTGGCTGAGCTGAACTGTGGTCTTCACAATCAGGTAGATCCTTTCATTCTGTGGTGTGACCCGATTCAGGTGAACAGAATCGTGTACCGAGGAGTCCCAGGAGGCTGTGGCTGAAACCTGTAAGTAGCAGAATGTTAGGGGACAGGAGTAAGCTATGAGACATCTCTGAGAAAAAAAAAATCAATTCTTGCTGTTGCCAAATAGATTTCTTCCTTCATCTATCTTGAATGGTGACAGGTGGCATTTTGTTCAAAGCCCTCAGTGTCCCTATCAGAAGTTTATCAGGCTGAGAGGGCTTGTGTGCTCCTGTGAAGACCCCAAGAGAGCCCTGGGGGTAAATTACCTCGTCATCACTGTGCTTTATGATGGGCAGGTAGAAGAACTGACTGCCATGCTCCTTGGGCAAGATGGAGTTCACACCTGATGCATGGGGACCCACCAGCTGCTCATTGGCACTAAGGTCATCCGCTGGCCAAGTTCAAGGCACAAGATGAAAACAGGACAAAGAAAGTCAGCTTTTAAGCAAACACCAACATTTTAAAATATGCCTTGAAAATTAATTTTCCCATTTTATACTTTTTGTTTGTTTGTTTGTTTGTTTGTTGGGAGACAGGGTTTCTCTGTGTAGCCCTGGCTGTCCTGAATCTCACTCTGTAGACCAGGCTGGTCTTGAACTCACAGAGACCCGCCTGCCTCTGCCTCCTGAATGCTGGGATTAAAGGTGTGTGCCACTACCGCCTGGCTTACTTTATACTTTTTTATTAATTAAAAAAAATCAGCCTCAAAAGTAACGGGTTTCGTGACAGCCTTTTCTCCTGGGACGCCCCCTTATTGGTTTCCCTCTCTCTTGCTGTCATGTCATGGACATCTGTTACCCTCTCTTCCTCTCCCGACCTTGAGGGTTGAGGGCAGAGGGTACTAGTCAGATGTGCAACTTCTCAGCCCTCGCCAAGCCTAACACACAGTCTCCAGGGGCCACTCCTTTTGCTGGTGATGTCAATCATTACTATCCCAGAGCACATGCTTTGTGTTCCTGTTGTCATTTTCAATGTCCGGGGTGCTTTGTGTGAGATTAGACACCACGTCTCTCTTCCAGTGACCATATGCCATGCTTATGATGTGTCCAGAGCCAAACTGTGGCCTAGTGTGCCATACCAGTAATTACCGAAGTGATTCATGTACCAAAGAATACAAGTCTGAGGAGATGAAGATCTTAGCTGACTTTGATAACCCCGGGATGGGCTAAGTGCCTACTTACCATTCAGATCCAGAAAGAGGACTGGTATGTGTGTTTCCATTCCAGGAGGTGGGACCCTAAATTCAACAACAAAATTTAATCATAAGAACATGTGTGTTTTATATTTTTTTTAATTAAGAAAACTCTAGAAAGCTATGGAAACAGAAGGACCCACTGTGGGGTTGTGGGATCTACACATGTCGCACCATCACATCTCTCTATTCTGTTTATCTGACTGTGTCTGTGTCTCTGTGTGTGAAGGGCACATGGCCAAGGCGGAGGACAGTTTACAGGAGTCCTGGATTAAACCCAGACTGTCAGGATTGACCGCAGGCACCACTAAGCCATATCCCCAGCACCTATCATTTCTAGCTTTTTATTTTCGAAAGTAAACTTTGCTATAAAAACACATCATTTTTTGACTCCCATGTTGACACAAGTCATGGGAATTATTGTGATGTATAAAAGAAGTATCAGTCATGCATTAGCTGTGAGTATCTAATACAAAGTTTTTTTAAAGCCTTTCAAGAAATAGTTCCAGGACTTGAAGAGATGGATCAACAGTTAAGAACATTTTCTCTTTTTTCAGAGGACTCAGGTTAGTTCCCAGCACCCAACTGTGACTCACAACTCTCTATAACTCCAGTCCCAGGGGATGTGATGCCCTCTCCTGGCCTTTTCAGGCATCAGGCACACACATGGTGCATATAAAATACACATAGGCAAAACATTCATACACCTAAGAATAAGAAATAAATATTTTTATAGGTTTTTTTTTTTTTTGTTTTTGTTTTTTCGAGACAGGATTTCTCTGTGTAGTTTTGGTGCCTGTCCTGGATCTCGCTCTGCAGCCCAGGCTGGCCTCGAACTCACAGAGATCCACCTGGCTCTGCCTCCCAAGTGCTGGATTAAAGGAATGTGCCACCACTGCCTGGCTAAATAAATGAGATATTTTTAAAGAAAAGAAACAATTCCAGCCATAGGGCAAGAGACAAGGGTGCTGTTAGATGGAAGGGGATGGACCAGAGCCTAGAGAAGGTAAACAAAAGGAACAGAAACACAGAAAACTCCAAGGGAGTGAGCACAACCTGTGAAGGGAGGTGATGTGCACAGCAGAGACCAGGCAAGCATACTGCTCACACTGGCCCAGCTTGATTAGAATCACCGCAGAGGGCTCTTCAGGAGCCCTGGTCAAATGCTTCCTCTTCTGAAGCCAATCTAGGGGAGGACTCAAGGTGACATTTTATGAATACTCAAGATGATGTGAGGCTGGACAACATCACATGAGAGAGGCTGAGGTGAGGACGACTTACGAGGGCGGGCTCTGAGGAGCAGTAAGGTTGGAAGGCGCTGACTCCTCACCGGGAGCAGCCTGCAGAGAGACTGCACACTACCTACAGGGTTGTAACACAAAGGCAGAAGCTGCATGGAGAGATAGCAGGCTGAAAGTTCTGTGCCTGCAGACTAGGTTCTCCCACTTCCTGGAGAAGACCAGGAAACCACTTCCATTATCAAGAGAGATGGAAATAACACTAGTGCGTCCATTTGTTCAGAGCAGACCTGGACACGTGTATTGTGTTCAAAGGGGATGTTGGATTTTCTCCTACCCACTCAGAGCAAAGGCTGGGGATGTAGCCTGGTGGTAGAGAGCTCGCCTCACATGGAGGCCCTGAGTTTGATCTCCAGCACTGCAAAACCAAGACACAAGTCAAAAGGCAAACCCCCAAACAAGAGCAAAAAAACCCTAAACAACAACAAGAACAATACATAAGTCAATGTCCAAGACATGGTTTTGTAGTGAGAATGAGAGTTAGAAATCAACAGAGCAGTCGGGCGGTGGTGGCGCACACCTTTAATCTCAGCACTTGGGAGGCAGAGCCTGGCGGATCTCTGTGAGTTCGAGGCCAGCCTGGGCTACAGAGCGAAATCCAGGACAGGCATCAAAACTGTCTTGAAAGTTTTGTCTTGAAAAACAAACAAACAAAAAAAACCCCAAAAAACAAAAACAAAAAAAAGATCTATTTTGTGTGTTTTTTTAATGTATTTTGAAGGCCCCTTCCAGCCTAGTATACTGTGAAACCTCCTTCTCAGTCTAGAGGGAGGAAACAGGATCCAAGTTGCTCATTCAGAGGAAGAAGGGAGGTAGCATTTACCCCCAGTCAGGTCACCTTTGGAAGAAGCTGGATGTGGTGGGGAAGTGATAGAGGATGGAATGCTGGAGACGGGTGGCCCTTCCCTCAGCTGTGGCTAGTTGATCCCGGAAAGCTATCTGCTCCTGTCACAGGCCATGTTCAGCACCCTGCCTGGCCTGCATAAAGGGTGGCTTACCAATCAGCAGGTGCCCCGGGGATCCCGCTGCCGGGGGCAGGCACCAGCACTGCATTCCTCTCCTCCGTCAGCCCCACCCACTGCTCCACCAGCCTGGCTTCCCGCTCCATGTCGTCTTCTGTTTTCTCTGTGGAATGTCAGGAAGACATGGGAGACAGCAGAAGAGAAGGGGCAGCTGTTAAATGGAACACAACTGGGTTGTTCATGCTGGAACATCCAAAATGGTGTATATGTCCACCATATTCCAAAGAAGGAACCAAGGCTCTGAAGATCAAGCATGGACATCCAGACAAGGAGAGGACGTGACACCAGCTTCAGGTAGCAGAGGCCAAAGGAAATACACAGAGTAGGGACAGGGGCCAGAAAGGGGTTTGTATTACTAGTGCTGGATCTGGGAAAGGGTTAGGAATACACACTGTATCTACTTTACACACTTGCTGGAATGATCCAGTTTATTAATGGGTGTGATTTTATAAAATGATAAGCCATGTTACAGGGGATTTAAAAGCATTGTATACCTCACTCTGAAAAACCTTTATTTTCTTTCATGTTCATTGTGAAAAGAATTTTACTGGATAAAATTTTTCTTTACATCTTCATGCACCTAACTCAATTTTGGGCTTCCCTGGGTATACTCACTGAATTTTCATCAGTGGCCTAGGCACACACACCACATACTGGACTAAGATGGTTTATCAAGGTGAATTTTGTTGACATGAAATGGAGGAACATCCACATGTACTGGCAAAGCATTAAGTACCCTGAGTGACTGTGAAGTCAAGTTGAGAGTACAAGGTTATCCATCCATCCATCCATCCATCCATCCATCCATCCATCCATCCATCCATCCATCCATCCATTTCTCCATCCATCCATCCATCCATCCATTTCTCCATCTATCTATCCATCCATTTCTCCATCCATCTCTCCATCCATCCATCCATCCATCCATCCATCCATCCATCCATCCATCCATCTCTCCATCCCTCCATCCATCCCTCCATCCATCTCTCCATCCATCCATCCATCCATCCATCCATCCATCCATTTATTTGAGACATGGGGTTCACTATGTACCCCTGGCTGGTCTGGAACTTGCTTGCCTTGAGCTCACAGAGATCCATTTGCCTCTGTATCTCAAGAGCTGGGATTAATAATCCTCACAAGGATTATTATTATTATTATTGCCACTGTAAAATACTGAAAAAGCTACTCCTGGGAGAGTTTAATTCCACGTACATTTTTTTTTAACATTTATTTATTTTGTGTGTGGGATGGGACAAGTGTACATGTGGGCACGAGAGGATAGTTTGTGAGCATCAGTTCTCTCCTATCATGTGGGCTCTGGGGATTGAACTTGTGTTGCAGGCTTCGTGGCAAGTGCCTTTATCTGCTGAGCCAACTCCTGGACCCCATCACGTACCTTTTTTATTGCTGACTTTTTTAATCTGTTCGTCTAAGTATTCCCGTCGTTTAATGAGTGCATCTGACCATCTCTCTCTTACACAGTTCAAGTCTTCTTCCTGACAACAAGAGAAGGAAGATTTTTTTCTTTAGAGAATGTGTAGACAATGATTCCTTTTGTATAAAAAAAGATATTTAAGTAGATTGGGGAACTTTTCATTAGGAAAGGCCATTGAATGTCATAGTGATTAATTAATATGTGAGAAAGCAGAGGTCATAGACTATGCCATGCTGACCATGGATGTTGGTACCCAGAAATCAGAACCCCTGGATCAGCAGGATAGTTACACTGAAAGGCAAGACAAGCTCAAACGATGCTACAGCAGGATGATATTTATGCTGCAAGATGACTTTCCGCTGCATGTGTGCACACCCATGTCTGTGTGCATCTGCATGGCAGCAATTCACTGAAAGATGTGTGGTCTCGAGCAGGAGGATACCATAAGCATAGCTCAAAGCCCAGAACATCAAACAGTAAGAAGAGTGACAGGTATTTATGTAGTTCAGAGTTCAATGGCCTTACTAGTAATACACGATTTTTCTGAAATGCAAAGAATAGGTCAACAGAAAACCTTCTAAATTTGCTGCAAAGATTGTACAGCCCACCACCACAAGGATAACCAAAAATCTCCCATGCAAAATCTCCACATGCAGTCAGCCATGCTAGAAGAACTCCCAGAAGCAGCTGCTGGACTCCACTGTGAACATGGCAGGAAGCACGCCCAAAGCCACAAGACGTTAGTTGATGGCACAGCTGAGACCTGAGGGGATGCTGACCCCACCCCTACCCCCCACCCCAAGGTCTATGTTCACTTCCATCCTTTCTTAGTAAAACTGTGAGTAGGGAAGGAAAAACCATCAATTCTACCCCAGATGCTCTCTGGCCTTACTCCTAACAACAATGATGACCTAATACTTAGAGTGGGAACTGTAAAGCTTTTCCTACAATGACCCCACAACTGACATACAGAAGACTCACTGAGAACCCATCCTTTCAACTTGGATGGGAAAGCAGTACAAAGACTGGGAACTCATGCCTGAAACTTTCATCTCGGCTGACTACTTTGACCATGACCCCACCATCATCCATGGTTGTCCGGCTAGTTGAGGCTGACTGAGTATCTATGCCACATGTGCTCATCCCCTTTTCTCCATTTCCAACAAGAGAACACTGCTATTTAAATTCTCAACATAATGAACTAAGCTGGTTAAATAAAACAAAGGTCTGCACACAGACTCCAAGCTTATGGCCCAATAAAAGCGTTGTCTTGTTTTTAATCAAATGGCATTTAGGGTAACACTAATCTTCTAGAAGTGATAGGCAAAGTGCAGTTTAGCAGAGGAAAGACAAGAGTGGGCCAGAAAACTGTGAATGGAGAGCAGTGTGTTTTTTGAGATCATTCATCTTAATATAGCCATCATGGTCTTGCCCAGCATGGCCACTGGAACCGGCAGAGCAAACAATGCAGTATCTGGTTACAGATTTGGAATCAACAGGAACATTGAGAGAAACAATATTGTGTTTCTGATCACATACAAAGCAGACCAAAGCAAGTGAGAAAGTGCATGTTCTCACTCTGGGGCCCTGTTTCCACCTCCCTGGGCTCTGCTTTGCGAAGGCTGGCGATTAGCAAGAGCTGTGCCCCATGCACAGGATTGACAGTGGCAGCAATACCTGATAACTATCCATATCATCGCCATCCTCCTCATCTCTCTGGGGGGAAAAATAAACATAAAGGACATGCATTTTGTTTTCTCAAACAGCACACAGGGAAAATAATTTAACACGTTACAATGGATGCCTCACACAACATTAGCGCCATTTCACTGAATCCCAATAGGTTAGGAAGAATTAAATTCATCTGTCTGTCTGTCTCTCTTTCTGTGTGTGTATGTGTGAGAGAGATAGAGGACAACTTGTGAGAATCATTTCTCTCCTTCCACCATGTTGGTTCTAGGGGCTCAAACTCAAGTTGTCAGGCTTGGAGGCAAGCGCCTTTCCCATGAGTCATCTTAACACTCCCATTTTTTTTTAAAGAGAATTCTCTTAGATAAGGATTGAAAACAACATCCTGGGCCAGGCCTTGCACCACTGTATTCCACATGTATTCCGGGTAGGCTGCCTGGTTTGGCATGATCTTAGTTGGACAGAAGGCTAACCTATGAAGGAGTTAGAGATCCTCTTCTCACAGAGACCCTAGAGGATGAAATGATTAATCCAAGGTTCACACAGATGGTGGCCGCTCAGGGCACCATCCCCAGCAGCCATTCTTGGAGATCATCGCTCACAGGGATGAAGTTGCTTGCCACAGGAACACCTGGGGACCCAGGCTTAAGGCACGGAAGGTTCTGTGCTGGCTACTTCAGGGGAAGCTGAGCCACTGGAATGCACAGGTCACCAGTGTCCTCTGTAGATGGACCACAACTGCCCCAAAGGCATGGGTACATTTTGCAATGATTACACAGGGTAACAATTTTGGTTAAAAAGCTTAGGCAAGAAAAAGAACCCCAATGAAAACAAGAGTTTGGGGGAAGAGACAGTTTTCCTTAGAAACGAGATACAGATCCCTTGATTCATCATTGTCTCTTCACAGGCAGGGTCTCACTATGCAGTCCTGGTTGGTTTGGATCTCACTACGGAGACCAGGCTGACCTTGAACCTACAGTGGTCCTCTTGCCTCTGTCTCCCAAATTTTGGGATTACAGGAATGCTCCACTATGCCCAGTGAAAACTTTTATTTAAATTTATAACAACCTTTTTTTTGTTGTTGTTGTTGTTGTTTTGTTTTTTCGAGAAAGGGTTTCTCTGTGTAGTTTTGGTGCCTATCCTGGATCTCGCTTTGTAGAAGAGGCTGGCCTTGAACTCACAGAGATCAGCCTGCCTCTGCCTCCCGAGTGCTGGGATTAAAGGCCTGTGCCACCACCACCCGGCTATAACAATATTTTTTAATGACATGAGAAAATATTACAGTCATTAAAATGTAGTTAAAATTATTTTCACATGTACACTTCACAATACATGACTTTCAAAGTCTGGCTGTTACTACTAGCAGTTCTAAGATTAATGCATTAAGTGGAAGCTGAATGCTGAAAGACTTTATCTTGAAGTGATTTTCTTTACAGATGTCAAAGAACAGACAATGATAACATATAACATTACATTTTAGACTTTAAGGTACTTTCACCAACCAAGACCCAGCCTGAGCTTTCAGGCTTTAACACCTTGTACACTGCATTGGCTTCAGCAATCAGGACATAAAGTACTGAGCCAACAGTGGTCTGTAGAAATGACCTTGACCATGGGAAGGAGGATCAAATAACCACAGCTGGATGCTGCATGGCTCACACTAAGCTTCTCTCTTGAGGTGCTGAGGACTGAGCCCAGGCCTTCACATATGTTTATAATTTTATAATAAGCATGTGTTTTACAACCAGCCACCACTACCCTAGCCCGGGTAGCTCACTCTTAGGAAACCATGCAGTACCGAGCTACAGTCAATTTTTTTAAAATCCACATTTTGAACAAATAATCAGTTCTTTTGGTGTTGTTTATTTTTTCTGACAGTGCCTCAATATGCCTGGAATTCACTGTGTAGACCAGGCTGGCCTTGGACTTACAGAAAAGAACAGACCACCTCTGCTCCCGAGGCATGCGCCACCATGCCCAGACAAAAAATAAGATAAAATAAAATAAAAATAATTTTTAACTCAAGAGGTACAGCTATTTAAAAAATTACAAATAGGGAGGGGCTTGAGATGGCTCAGTGGTTAAGAACATTGGCTGCTCTTATAGGGGGACCAGGTTTGATTCCCAACACCCGCACGGTGGTTCACAACCATCTATGACTCCATTTTCCAATGATTCAGGAACTTTTCTGGCCTTCATGGGCACCAGGCATGTACGTGGTGCACAGACATGCATATAATCAAAACACTCACACACACAAGATAAAATAATAAAAAATTTAAAAAAAACTACAAAGGATTCTTATAAAGCCCTTGAAATGGGAACATTTAGCAAAGCTGGTGATTTTCATTTTGGAAGTCGCAGCCTAAGTTACACGAACTCTATGTTTTATCTTGTGCTGGAGATTGATTGAACCACACAGTTTTATTGCAGAAAGAAATTCTGAGAATTACTGCATCTATTTCATCGTTTTAGAAAAGAAAAAGAATTCAGTATTTAAGTGAACTCGGAAGTGGAAGGAAAATCTGGGTCTCCTGACTGTAAGTCTTGTGCTACCAAATAATTCTTGTGGCCACCCTGGAAGTTACTGGCTCTGAGAGGGACTTCCCTGGAGCGAGGACATACATAATTTAATTCCTTACTCATAGGCTATAAACACACAAGTGTGCTAAAGAAGCGCCCCAGACCATGGGCCCTATCTCCTTATCCTTTGCTCTTGCTCTAAGGAAGCATGCAGACTTTGAGCTGCAGGGAAGTGTAGTCAGAAAGGAGGAAGGCAGTGTCTGGAAAAGCCCAGGACTCTGCATTCATCTCTAGCTTTCAGAAAAATCTGCCCCAACACCATGAAATCAGAGAAACTCTGGTAGAAGATGAAGATGAACCATTTCTCAGGATTGGCTGGGCTGATACCCAGACGCCCCAGAGAAATGGAGGGGAGACATTTTCTCTTTGGCAAAGTAGAGAGATGCTTTCTACCACATTTGACTGTAGGGGACCCTGGTTCAACTGTGCCCAGACCCTTGAAGCACATACATTCTTCCAAGCCACGGTAGGAAGATAATTACTGAAGTTTATTCTCCCAGGGCACAGACTAGTTTTCTGCACTGCCCACCCTCCACAGTGTCTCATGTAGCCCAGGCTACCCTCAAGCTCACTATGCAGCTGAAGCTGAGGATGATCCTGAACTCCAGTTCTCCTGAGTCCACATTCCAAGTGTTGGGATGATGGGCATGTGCTATCATAACCAGCATCTTTTTATTTCTTAATTAGAACAATGGACTTCAAGGATGGAGAGTTAATGGACAAAATGATCATGTGCACAGTTTTTATTATTTTATTTTTTAAAGATATATTGATTTATGTATTTTATGTATTTATGAGTGGTCTGCTTGCATGTATTCCTACATATGAAAGAAGAGGGCATCTGATCCTATCATAGTCGGTTGTGAGCCACCATGTGGTTGCTGGGAATTGAAGTCAGGGCCTCTGAAAGAGCAGCCAGTGCTCTTAACCACTGGGCCATCTCTCCAGCCCCCATGCACAGTTTTTATAACAACAAAAAAGAGCAGTCAAGACTGGTTTAAAGCGATAATACACAGGAGCAATTTTCTGAGAGCAATGCAGGTGGATTGGGACAGCAGTATTGTTCGTATTGTTCACATACATTGGGCAGGATATAAAATAAAAGCAGCCCAAAGCAGGTGACCACTAGAGCCTGAAGAAGTAAACATTACTAAGTAACCAGGCAAACACAGCATTTCATATTTAGAAAAAAGGCAGCAGACGGGAAGTGACCTGGGGGAAGATGCGCAGGTAAGGTAACTGTTGTTTGTGAACTCCCAAATAAGATTTCCACTGTACACCAATGTCCTCACTTCTGCACGGATTTTTAAATTCCTTACTTACTTTTTAAGTAAAGTATTTTCTTTTTAATCATGTGTATGCATGTCTGTTTGAGTGTGGGCATGAGCAAGCTCAGGTGCCCTCAGAGGCCAGAAGAAGGCACTGGATCCCCCGGAGATGGAGTTACAGGTGCTTACTTATGAGCTTTCTAACATGGGTGCTGAGAATTGCATTTGGGTTCTCTGTAAGAGCAGGATACATTCTTAACTGATGAGCCATCTCTGTAAACCCTTTATTTTTTTTTTAAATTATTATTAATTTTTAAATTTCTGAAGTACTGGGTATAGAACCCAGCTACCAAGCTACACCCCCAGTCTTTGGCACCTGCTCCCCCAGACCTGCGTCCTACCTGGTAACTGTCCAGCCCCCTCTGCAGCTTGGTGGACCGTGCAGTCACGCAGCCGATGGATACCGACAGGATGGCTTCAACCATGAGTGGCAGTGTCCCCGAGTGCTGTACAGGTTTCACTGTGACCTGCACTCTGCGGGAGTGACCCTGCAGGCGTGAAGGCAGAGAAGACGCCAGAGACGGGGATGGGGAGAGAGGAAGGAAACAAGGGAAATCATTTGAGAATAGAAATACAAGAGAATTGGGGTACGCCTAGAAACTCTAAGAGTGAAAAACACACACACACAAAAGCTCCGTACCTGCCTGAGTTGAAAGACGCCTCCGGTATTGACGTCTTTCGCCTGGTGAAGCTCCACGGCAGCATATTCCCCTAGCTCGTTCAGTTCCAATATGGAGATCCACATTTCTATTCTTCGAGTTACTTCGTTCCACCTGCAAAAACCACATCCCAACAAGCACCGAATCACCCAGGGCCGCGGTTAGCAAACTGTGTTAATAAACGTCCATCACTGAGCACGTACTGGCACTGTGCCAGAGATGTCTCACAGATTCCCGCCTGGATGAACTCTCAACCCAAACCTGCGGTATGGACTCGCGGGCTGTTCAACTGACCCGTACCTTACATTTAGTGATGTACACAGATTAAGCAAGTAAACACCCGGGTGTGGGGTTGCTGGGTCACAGAAGAGGCAAATGATCAACTTTAGAAGAAATTGCCAATTTTAGGGCTAGGGCTGAATGGTAGAGTGCTTGTTTTGCATGTGGAAAGACCTACGTCCAGTCTCTAGAAATGCTATAAAGAAAAAAAGAAGACATTGGGAGCTTTCTCTTAGACTGTGGTGGCTTATTGATTTTCATAGTTATGCCTTTGATGTAGAATTAAGTCCAACCCGGAAGTTTCCCTCCTATGGCTATTGCGGCCTGAGAACCTGCGACCATGTCAAAGCTGTAACAATACCACCCCCATCCAGGCAGCACGGGGCACACCAGTAATACCAGCACTTGCTGAGGCAGGAGGATTGCAAGTCTGAGGCCAGATGGGTTCTATAGAGAGCATTTGGTTAAAACAACATCATCAACAATGACATTGACAAAATCTCAGGGCATGGTGGCGCCTATGTGCAACTTCAACACTTGGGAGCTTGAGGCAAGAGACTGCCATAAATGTGAGGCCAGCCCAGCCTATACCCAAACCACGTCTCAAAAAAACCCTGAAAAGCAATACAAACTTATGAAAGGATATCCTACTATTTTCTTCTACCAGATTTATAGATTTTGTTTTGCATTTAAATTTACGATTTGGGTCACTAAGATAGCCCAGTAGGCAAAGGGTTGGTTTGCCTTCAAACCAGATGACCTGAGTTCAATCCCTGGGAACCACCTGGCGGAAGCTGACAACTGGCTCCTGCAAGCTGTCCTCTGACCTTCATTACACAAATACTGTAATAAAAACTTTAAAAATAAACATATGACTATCTTGTAGTAATTTCTGTGCATGATGTTAAGTAACATCAAGGATTTTGTTTTCACATAAATACAGCAATTATTTCAGTCTTGCCGGTTGCAATGACTCACTGCCGTAGTGTGTTTTGACGTTTCTAGCATTCTAATTTTACGGAGGAGGAAATGGGCTCGAAGGCTGAGCAACTCGCTCGAAGCCCCAGGGTTTGAGGCGTCCACTCTCACTTACGGTCACGAGCTGCTCCTGACCCCTGGGTCTGATGCCCACAGCAAGAACAAACCTGTCATGCAATGTTCTTAAATGCTCGCAGCAAGAACCAACCTGTCATGCAATGTTCTTGTCTTCGCATGGAGTGAATCGACCTCCCAGATGGAGCTTCCATTCCCAGCACACCTGTGGCCCCACACTTCAATTGCGAGTGCGCCATCAGAAATGAACTCTAGGAACTCCTCTGTGACAGTCACCACGTAGTCCTGGGACAAGCAGAAGGCAGGACAGCACACTGAGAGTCAGGCATAATGGCACCCACTTATCCGCTCTCAACCTTAAACCCATCTCTTCTGATCTGCAGGAAGGCATGAAGGAGCACAGGACGTTGTATCTGGAAGGGATCCAGGAGGTGACTCAGTTCTAATGAAGAAAGCTGAACTCAAACTTCTGGCTTTAGGTGCACAGCGGGGATCTGCAGTCTCTTACTTGGGCTCACGGCCAGCTCCAGTGAACCACTCTGACCTCCAGATGACCCTCCTGCACTTGGAGACTTACTGAGTAAGGGACTCCAACTATCTGATTTCTTCACGGCCTAGGCTCTTGCTCTTGAGTGTGTCTAGCTTCAGTTCCTCACTCTAAAAAACAAACCCACGGCTGCGGAAATTGAGATCTCCCTGAGAACCGGGGCTGCTCACTCGGAACACCCAGTAAGCCCGAAGTTGAACCACTTTCCTTCCCATCAGCCTCCTCAGGAGCCCAAGCAGAGACTCGGTACAGTTATTTCATGACTCATTTCCAGAAAGAGCTACTAAGCTGGCGGAGCCTATTCTGTCTACTTTCTTATTTCACCTGGAGACAGACCCAGAATTTTAGAAGGAAAAGAAACAATGGTCAACGAGTTCAATCTACGTACTTCAGAAGTGAAAAACAAAACAAAACAAAAAAAACCAACAACCTCTAAAATCACCCTGTGAACCCAGGGGCTTTGGGATCCACGTGTATTTACACAGTTATCAAACAGCACACACTTAAGATCCGGCCTGTGTCTTTCTGGTACAAACAGGCCTGTGGATCCAAAGAGGGATGGGGAATATTTAAAAGACTGTTAGGAAAACAGTAATAAGAACGACCAAAATGGCGGGGTGGGGGTGGGGCATTACTTAGGAGGAGAAAGGAACCAGAGTGTGAGGGGAAGAGTCTGGGACAGGACAGCAGGGGGAGAGGGGACGGATTAGAACAAGATAGAAGGACTCATCTGTAGGAAAATGCCCACGACTTGGCATGCTAACTTAAGTAGTCAAAAATAAATAATGCACGTAAAAAATAATAACTAAAGATTTTAAGAATGTGGTTTGGCAAATATGGGTCAAGAAATGTAGGCTTGGGGCTGTAGAGCTAGTTCAATGGTTTAAGACATCTGTTTTTCTTCCTGAGGACCCCATTTGGGTTCCCAGCACCCACCTGGCAGCTTACAACTACCTGTACCCCTAGCTCCAGATCCTCTGATGCCCTCTTCCAGCCTCTGGGAGCAGTAGGCATCTACACAGCACACAGAGAACATACGCAAAACACTCATATACACTGAATGAATCAATAAGCAAATCTTTGTTGTTGTTGTTGCTGTTGTTTGTTTTGTTTTTGGAGACAGGGTTTCTTTGTGTAGCCCTGGCTGTCCTGGAACTCACTCCGTAGACCAGGCTGGCCTCAAATTCACAGAGATCCGCCTGCCTCTGCCTCCCAAGTGCTGGGATTAAAGGTGTGTGCCACCACCGTTTGGCCCTAAATAAGCAAATTTTTATTTAAAAAAAAGAAAGAAAGAAAAGTGGGCTATTTACTTTCAGCAAAGGAAACAGCAGTCTTGCACATATGAGGTTTTATAGGTGGTCACAGGAATGAGTTTTCTAAGCTACAGTCAGAAGGAACAGACACCATTTGCAGAGAAGTGGTCTGGACAGGTCATCTGGAAGAAGTCTCACATGGGGCAGAGTCCATCTTAGAGAAATCATTAGGTAATATTGCCAAGTGAAAGCCACAAAAGCAAGAAAGGTAAGAACATAGACAATAGCTTACTAAAATATGTGGCGGGCATAGGGACTTGCAACTGATGTCCCAGCTACTCAGGGGGATAGAGCAAGTCCAGGAGTTCAAGGCCAGCATGGGCAATATAGCAAGACTCCATCTCAGAAGATAAAATAAAAATAAAGGTAATATATGTAGAATAAGACTGCAAGTAGGGCTGGAGAGATGGCTCAGCTGTTAAGAGTACTGGCTGCTCTTCCAAAGGTCCAGCAACCACATGGTGGCTCACAACCATCTGTAATGAGATCTGGTGCCCTCTTCTGGTCTGCAGTCATAAATGCAGGCAGAACACTATATACATAATAAATAAATCTTTAAAAAAAAAGAATAAGATTGCAAATTAAGACTGTTCTGATTTCATTTTATATATTTCCTAATTATTTGAATTTGTAATGAAGAACATTTGAGCTTTACAAAGTCCAGGCAGATATTATGTTCAATTAAAACCAAAGAACTTCCAAGGAAAACTTTGCTGAGAGAGGATCTCCTGCCCTGGAATGTGTGATCTTGCTGCTCCAGCCTCCTGAGTGCCAGGATTACAGGCACGAGCCAGCACATATGGAGAGAACTTCTAAGTAGATTTTAGCCAGGCCTGGGGCTCCTGCCTGCAATCCCACCCCTTGGGAGGCTGACAAGGAGGATGGCCATGAGTCAGAGGGCAGAGCAGGTCACATCCTGAGTCCCAGGCCTGCTTGAGCTCCATGGCAGGACTCTTAGAATTTCAGGGATGTGGGGAGAAGGTATGTCATGTTCTTCAGTGGTGGGGCGGCCTATAACCTCCCCCATGCTCAGGCAAGAAACTCTTAACCCAGTGGGTGACACAGGAAGAGGAAAGTAGGGGGTGACTCACAGGGAAGAAGGGCTTTGGGGCAAAAGGCGGGAGGGGGAAAATGGAGCTGAGCAGGAAAATGACTAAACTTCTGAAACTGCTGGACAATAATAAAAACATTTTAAAAAATTTATAAGGGATCTTTGAGAATTGAGAAAGAAAGAAAGAAAAAGTTCCACATGATTGGAAGGTGTTCAAACCAGAATTCTAGGTGATTGTCCTGTTCAAACACCAGAATTACATGTAATGCTGTAGAGTACATGGCAAAAAAAACGTTGAGTTTTAAAAGTCCGTGCCCAAGTCCATTGCCCACCATGCAGCTGATGCTGGCCCTGTGGTGGCTGTTTGGGTGCTAGGGACTGACCCAGGAGCCTCAAGCACACACTTCACCGTAGAGTGCCACCCTTGGCCCAGAACCTCATTTTGTGACTGCATCTGTACCTTACAGTGAGAGAAGGTCACTGTGTACTGGGCGTCCTTGGACTGCGGGGAAGGCACGTCTGGATCCACCACTGGGGCAGCCACTGTAGACTCACACTGGTCCCAGAACGTGTACTGACAGAAGACGAAATTGGAGAGGCTCAAAGGTAGCCCAGTTGCCTCTTTAATTATCACCTGAAGAGATTTAAAAAAAAAAAAAATTAGAGCTCTCATAAAAGAAACACTAAAGTATATGTCTTTCCATAGTTCATCATCTCTAAGAGGGGATAAAATCAGTCACCCATTTAAAAATATTTGAGACCAAGCCGGGCGGTGGTGGCGCACGCCTTTAATCCCAGCACTCGGGAGGCAGAACCAGGCGGATCTCTGTGAGTTCGAGGCCAGCCTGGGCTACCAAGTGAGCTCCAGGAAAGGCGCAAAGCTACACAGAGAAACCCTGTCTCGAAAAACCAAA